TCCTGTGTGACCTGTCAGTGCTGAGGCCCCCCCCCCCCTTATTTATATTATTGTAAAGTTGCAATGTATCTCTCTGTGTATGGGGATCCTGGGGAGGAAGAATTTACAATGTAAAATGTATCGTCTTCGGATCTCACATGTGATGTATGTATATATATATATATTATGTGTATATAGTATCCCCCACCCACAGTTGCAGAGCCACATGTTGCTGAGTGAGTGACATGTGTCCCATGTATCGGGGACTGTGGGAGTGCATGGCTGGCCTCTCGCAGGATCTCGGTGTGCAGGTCCCGATGTCCCTCTGCTGGCTGCAGGTCTGGATCTACATGGATCTCATTAGTGTATGGAATGACATGTTCCTGACATGGAGGGAATAAGTCTTCATAAATGACCGATAATTCGGCAGAAGGTTCTGGATAGAGGCAGGCAGGGAAGTCCGGGGAAGTCCTGCTCATGCTTGGACTGGATTTCTGTTGGTGGATCTGATTGTATCCTCCTGACTGTCACCTTTACATTTCTGACACATTTGTAGAATTCTCCCCATTATGTCTGCAGGGTATAGCGCTCTGGTTTCTCTCAGTCTCTTTCCTTTTTTCTTTTTCTCTCTTTCTACCCATATCTCTCTGTTCCCTTTCTCTCACTCTCTCTATTTCTAATTTGCACTTTTTCTTTTTCTACCTATTTCTTTCTTTCTTTCTCCCCCCCCCCCCTCTCTCTCTCTCTCTCTCTCTCTCTCTCTCTCTCATTTTATCTTCTTTTCTCTTTTTCTCTATCACATTCTCTCTCTCTCCCACTATAATTCTATTTATGCCTCTATCTATCTATCTATTATCTATCTATTATCTATCTATCTATCTATCTATCTATCTATCTATCTATCTATCTATCTATCTATCTATCTATTATCTATCTATCTATTATCTATCTATCTATCTATCTATCTATCTATCTATTATCTATCTATCTATTATCTATCTATCTATCTATCTATCTATCTATCTATTATCTATCTATCTATCTATCTATCTATCTATCTATCTATCTATCTATTATCTATCTATCTATTATCTATCCATCTATCTATCTATCTATCTATCTATCTATTATCTATCTATCTATCTATCTAATCTATCTATCTATCTATCTATCTATTATCTATCTATCTATTATCTATCTATCTATCTATCTATCTATCTATCTATTATCTATCTATCTATCTATCTATCTATCTATCTATCTATCTATCTATCTATTTCTCTCTCTTTCTTTCTCTCTCCCACTATATTTCCACTTCTCTCCCTTGCTGTCAATCTCTATCTTCCTCTTTTTATCTCTCTATTTCTATATCTCTTTATCTCCCCCCCCCCCCCCTTTCTAGTTCTCCCTCTTTCTCTCTCCCTCTTTTTATCTCTCTTTCTCTCTCTACTTATTTCTCTCTCTCTCTTTTTCTGTCTATATCTCACTCTCCCCTCCCCCTCCCTCCTTTTTATCTTTCTTTCTCTCTTTTTTCTAATTTTTTTCTTTCTCTTTGTCCTGTTTTTATTCCATCCCTCTCTCTTTTTCTCTATCACTTTCTCTCACTCTCCCACTATAATTCTATTTATATCTCACTATTTCTATATCTCTTTATCTATCTATCTATCTATCTATCTATCTATCTATCTATCTATCTTTCTATCTGCCTCTTTTTATCTCTCTCCCTCTTTCTCTTTTTTTTCTATGTCCCTTTCTTTCTCTCACTCTGTCTCTCTCCCCTCTCTCTTTTTTCTCTCTATTTCTATCTCCCACTTTTTCTCTTTCTACCCATTTCTTTCTCTCGCTCTCTCTTTTCTCAGACTCTCTAACTTTTTCTCTCTATCTTGTTTTCTCTACCCCTCTCTATTTTTCTCTATCACATTCTCTCTCCCACTATCTATCTATCTATCTATCTATCTATCTATCTATCTATCTATCTATCTATCTATCTATCTATTATCTATCTATTATCTATCTATCATCTATCTATCTATTATCTATCTATCTATCTATCTATCTATCTATCTATTATCTATCTATCTATCTATCTATCTATCTGCCTCTTTCTTTCTAGGTCCCTTTCTCTCTCTCTGTCTGTCTCTCTCCTCTCTCCCTTTTCTCTCCATTTCTATCTCCCTCTTTTTCTCTCTCACATTCTATCTCTCACCTTCTCTCTACCTTATTGGTTCCATGCACACTAGTGTTTTTCTTTTTTTTTTAGCTAAAAAAATGCTGGATATAAATTGTTGATAATAGCGAGTTTTAGTAGCGTTCAGAAGCATTTGGAGTGTTAGCATTTTATTAGCATTTTTACAGTACATGTAGAGGAAAAAAGCTAGAAAAAAAGTTGTTAGGAGTGATTTAGTAGCATTTAGCACCGTCAAGGAGAATTTAGCATTTTTGTATTCTGTTGGAAAAACGCTCCCAAAAACTCCACAAAAACAATTTTTTTTTTCTGATCCTAGACGCTGAAGCTCAAAAATGCCAATAGCATAAAGTAGCGTGCACAGACACATAGAAGAACACCATTTAGCTTCTAGAAGCAGAGAAAGAATGCTGATAACAGCTTCTAGGAGCTTAAAAAAACGCTAGTGTGCACGGAGCCTTGTTCTGTCTCTCTTTTTTTTCAGACTCGCTTTCTTTCTTTTTCTATCTCTCTATATCGCATTCTTTCTTTTTCTTTCTTTCTTTCTTTCTTTCTTTCTTTCTTTCTTTCTTTCTTTCTTTCTTTCTTTTTTCTTTCTTTCTTTCTCTTTCTCTCTCTTCTTCTCTTTCTTTCTTTCTCTCCTCTCTCTTTGTCCCTCTCTCTTTCTATCCCCTCTTTTTTTTCTTTAGCTCTCTTTCTACCTCTCTCTCTTTTTTCTATCTCTTTAACGCTCTCTCTTCCATTATCTTTCTACTCATGTCTTTCTATTTCCCCATGCTCTCTCTTTTCTGATATCTCTCTTTTTAAATCTGTTCATCTCTTCCCCTCTCTCTTTCTCTCCCCCTTTTTTCTCAGACTCTCTCTCTCCCTCCCCCTCCCCCTCTCTCCCCCCTTCTCTCCCTCCCTCCCTTTCCCTCCCTCCCTCCCTCTCTCTCTCTCTCTCTCTCTCTCTCTCTCTCTCTCTTTCTCCTCCCCCCTCTCTCCCTCCCCCTCCCCCTCTCCCCCCCCCTCTCTCCCTCCCTCCCTTTCCCTCCCTCCCCCCCTCTCTCTCTCTCTCTTTCTCCCCCCCCTCTCACCTCTCAATTTACATTTTCTTTCATCGGTGGTATTGACGTCTTGCTGAGATATTTGAGTTTTGAAAATATTCTAAAAATTTGTGATATAAGAAATCATCAATACCAATAATTCACTAAATTGACCAAAAAACAAAATGTCAATCATTCATCATCATCTGGGCAGACCCGCCATGGATTTCCCTGTGTAGAATCTGCACACTTCCCAATCTTTCACTTCAATAACTGGATTATTGGCCGTTGGACAAGGATATCATCTAATGAATGAATGTGAAGGAGATTAGCTCCCTATAATCTTCAGGATAAATTATCAAATTGTTGGAGCTGAAAATTCTTTGATGGGTTTATTTTCCTCCGCACTCTGAGCTCACCGATTGGGATTCTTCATCAGATGGCTGAAACAATTATAAAAATTGATCATTCTACCTGAAGTGGGATCTCCTTGCCATTCCTGTTTTTTTTTTTTTTCGGTGGCAATAATTTCCCATCATACGGAATCATTGTTCCAAAGTAGTCTTGTGATTTCAGAAATTTTCAGATATTTTCAGCTAATAAGTATCTATGGGGTAGCCGTCGCTTTCCATGTATTTGTAATTCAATATATTGCTGTGTGTATAGGATCTTGGCTCAGTATGGAGCTATTTCAGATACATTGTATGGTATTTATATTGTGCTGTTATGGTTTAGAACAGCATTTCTCAACCTTTATTGTTCCAGAGGAACGCTTGAGAAAAATTTGAGATCCTAGGGAACCCCTTCAAAACTAAATTCATCTTGGGTCACTGGGAAAATGCCTCTTACATTGATGGTGAATGGGAAGAATGCCCACCTTACATATGGTATTGGTGTCGTCTGGCTGGATCTGTAAAGTGGTGTTAGCACTGGAACAATGCAGGTACCATCAGATGGGAAGTCAATCATCCTCTGCTCAAGGCAACCCTAGCAACCTCTAGAGCAGGGGAGTCAAACTCAATTTTATCATTGGCTGCATCAGCATTATTGTTGCCCTTAAAGGGCCAGTTGTATCTGTAATACTAGATATTCAGAGCACCCCCCCCCCCCCCCTACATCAGATGTGATGTCAAGAGTCCCCCCACCATCAGAGGTCAACAGTGCTCCCCCCTCCCTTATATCACAGTGCTTGTGCTGATGCTCAGAAGAAGCTGTGGGCAGAACTGGGAAACATAAAGTGCAGGGTCTGGAGGAGGACCAGAGGAGGACTGGAGTCAGCTGTCGGAGTCTCCTGAATGCTAAGACCAGGGAAGGTAGAGATTTGGGGCTGTTGTGGCTGCACAGAGAGAAGCAGGATCTTTAGGAGGAGTTCTGTCCTCCTCTCTCCTGCTGACTGCTGAGACAGGTCGAGGGAGGGGTAGAGACAAGCCTCTCTGCAGCTGCACAGTGAAGCGCAAGATCTGGAGGAGGAGTTCTGTCCTTCTATCTGCTGCGACTGCTGAGGCAAGGTGGGGGCGGAGACAAGGGGGTTGACAGAGCTTCAGGAGAGGTGCGAGTGCCACATGAAATAGCCTGGAGGGCTCATATGTCCGCGGGTCTTGTGTTTGACACTTGCTCTAGTCTAGAGGACCCTAAGGGATCCACAGATCCCGGGTTGAAGTAGATGGTTTAGAACATAAAGCAGATTTTTTTTAATAATTAGTTGTTGGGTATAATGATACATCAGTGAAAGTTCCATTCATGAAGGTCCTGAATAGTATAGCTCAGTCCAATACTAGTGATACATTAGTGCAGTTGTGTTCCAATTGCAGCTGTTTCATGTATGCCCAGGGGCGGACTGACCATTTGGAAACTCGGGCACTGCGCGAGGGCCCAGGGTCAGTAGGGTGCCCCATGAGATGCCCCTGGTACCTTTTTCATAGGCTTTTTTGAGTTTGGGCAAGGATACAGGGGCTCCATGATCCCCTATTGCCTGGGGGCCCCATGAGTTGTCAGTCCGCCCCTGTGTATGCCAGTTACTTCATTTAATGGTAATTATCTGTACAAGCCCCCAAATACTTTAAGAATCATAGGAATCAGGTTGTCTGTCACCAATCCCCGAAAGTACAGATAGCTGGATCCACAGCAACACAAGCAATGGGCATCATATATAATTCATATATGATTGCGCAGAGTGAGAGGTCAATACAAGGCAGATCACCCAACTGGTGCCAGAAGCAAGCAAAAAGCAAGCGAGGTCTCTAAAACATCAAGGTTTGGGGGTGAAACCTTCTGAAGACTAGAGGTCTTTCCTAATGAAGGGGTTCACGTCGAAAGGTTGAGGGTGCTTTCAATGTATCAAGACAAACCCCTACATCAGGAGAAGACCAAAAACCTTAAAACGTACTTAATATGGTAACTATATACATACTAAACAGCTAAGCATCTATGGACACTTGATCATCACATCTCCATGAGCTTGCTGTCCCATTCCAGTACCATGGCCATACAATTAAAAACACAGCTATGCAACTTCCATTGACAAACATCAGTGTACAAAGACATTGTAGACAATCGTACTCTTCCAACCTTGTGGTAACAATTTGGTGAAGAACCTTCTGTGTTCCACCATGACTGTGTCCCTGTGTACAAAGCCAGCTCCATAAACACATGGTTTGACCAGCTCGGTGTGGAGGAACTTGAGCGTCTAGCATAGAACCCTGACTTCAACCCTACTGAACACCTTTGGGATGGAATAGGGAGCCAGTTCTTCTCATCCAACATCAGTACCTGACCTCACAATTGGGCACAAATCCACACAGACACACTCCAAACTTTTTTGAAAGTCTTGCCAGAAGAGTGGAAGGTGTTCTAGCTGCAAAAGGGGCAACTCCATATTAATGGCCATGTTGATGTCCTTGGTGAGGGGTAACTCCTTATGAATCATCATGGTGGATGAAAACTCCATATTAATAGAAGGGGGTGACTGCATATTAATGACCATAGTGAGAGGCAACTCCATTTGATGGCCATGGTGGGGGCAGCTCCATATCGATGGCCTTTTTGGTGGTGGAGGCTGTAGGAACAACTACATGTTAATATCCTTGGTGAAGGCTAACTCCATATTAATGGCCATGGTAGGTGACAACTCCATAGTAAGGGCCATAGTAAGGGGGGGGCACTCCATATTAATGACCAGGGTGAGCGGGCAATTTCATACTGATGGCTATGGTGAGGGGAAACCCCATATTGATGGCCATGATGAGGGGCAACTCCATATTGATGTCCATGGTGAGGGACAACTCCATATTGATATCCATGGTGGGGTACAAATCCATATTAATGGCCATAGTGGAGGGGGAGTGACTCCATATTAATGACCATGTTGAGAGGCAACTCTCTATCATTGGCCTTGGTGAGGGGAAACTTCATATTGATGGCCATGGTGGTGGTGGAGTGGGTGAGGACCACTCCATGTCAATGTCCTTGGTGAGGGTAACTTCATATTAATGACAATAGTGGGGTGGGGTAGGGGGGGGTGACTCCATATTGATGGCTATGGTGAGTGTATAGACTGCATGTAAGGGACACATACACTATACTGCCAAAAGTATTGGGCCGCCTGGCTTCCCATGCACGTGAACTTTAATGGCCTCCCAGTCTTAGTCCGTAGGGTTCAATATTATATTGAGTTGACCCCGCCCTTTGCAGCTATAACAGCTTCAACCCTTCTGGGAAGGTCGTCCACAAGGTTTAGGAGGGTGTCTATGGGAAGGTGGGACCATTCTTCCAGAAACACATTTGTCAGGTCAGGAACTGATGTCGGGGGAGGAGGCCTGGCTCGCAGTCTCCGCTCTAATTCATCCCAAAGGTGTTCTATGGGGTTGAGGTCAGGACTCTGTGCAGGACAGTCAAGTTCCTCCACCCCAAACTGGCCCCTCCATGTCTTTATGGACCTTGCTTTGTGCACTGGTGCGCAGTCATGTTGGAACAGGAAGGGGCCATCCCCCCCAGCTCTCTACACACTGTTGTTGGGCTCCTCTGAAGGCCACACCAAGTTTGGTGGTCTTTAGCTATTGACTCTGCAGACAGTTGGCGACTTCTGCGCACTGTGCGCTTCAGCATGCGCTGACCCCGCCCTGTCATGTGACGTGGCCTACCACTTGGTGGCTGAGTGGCTGTTGTTCCCAGTTGCTTCCACTTTGTTATAATCCCACTAACAGTTGAGCGTGGAATATTTAGTAGTCAGGAAATGTCACGGATGGACTTATTGCCCAGGTGGCCACCTATCACGGGACCACGCTTGGAGTCACTGAGCTCCTGAGAGCGACCCATTCTTTCACCAATGTTTGTAGAAGCAGTCTGCATGCCTAGGGGTTGATTGTATACACCTGTGTCCATGGAGGGGATTGGAACACCTGAATCACATGATTGGGAGGGCGGGGCCAATACTTTTGGCAGTATAGTGTATATCTGTCCCTGTGTACATATAGAATTACACACTATACAGAGGACGAGGCTCATAAAATATTAACACAGCAGTAAGCTTTCCTTTATAAAGTAGAGGATCAAACAAATGTCGATGTGCATCTGCCAAGGTTACTTCTGATTCAGGGGCGGACTGACCATTTGGAAACTCGGGCACAGCCCGAGGGCCCCGGGGTCAGTAGGGGGCCCCATAAGATGCCCCTGGTACCTTTTTCATAGGCTTTTTGAGTTTGGGCAAGGACACAGGGGCCCCATGATCCCCTTTTGCAAGGACACAGGGGCCCCATGATCCCCTTTTGCCAGGGGGCCCCATGAGTTGTTAATCCGCCTCTGTTCTGATTGGTTGCTGTGACACAGAAGAGTTCATGGCGTATATTACAAAGATTCACCATGCATCTACTGGAGGTGTTTCATCCCGGTTGCATGTGCTTGAAATGAATGACCTCCAGTGCATGTTTGGTAGTCATGTAGTGCATGTTTATAATGATGGCAGGAGTCACGGCAATGTTAATGGTGGGATTGGAAATTTTTAGCCAGTCCATGACAGAGAAATCCAGTGAAGGTACATGCATCGCCTCGGATGATCTGCACATGTGGTATATGTGAGTGTCCCAGTTGCAGCTCACCAGGTACTCAGGAAATCTGCCTTGTGCAATGTTCTAGAACAGGGGTGTCAAACTCCATTTCATCACGGGCCATATTGGCATTATGGTTGCCCTCAAAGGGCCAGTTGTGTCTGTAAGACTAGATGTCCAGAGCACCCCCACCCCCCATTACATCAGATGTCAAGAATCTCCCACTCTTTCTAACATCACCGTGCACCCCCTTTGGGGGCAGAGCTGGAAAACAAACTGCAGGGTCTGGAGGAGGACCAGAGGAGGAGTGGAATCAGTTACCAGAGTCTGCTGAGTGCTGAGACCGGGGAAGGCAGAGATGAGGGGGTGCTGCAGCTGCACTGAGAGGTGCAGGATTTGGCAAAGGAGTTCTATTCTCCTCTCTGCTGCCGACTGCTGAGACAAGACGGGGGCAAAGACAAGGGGCTACCTGCAGGAGAGGTGCAAGGGCCACAGGAAATGGCCTGGAGAGCCAGATTCGGTCTTGTGTTTGCCACCTGTGCTCTAGAATGACAGTAAAATCAGAGATGACCGCATGGATTCTGCTCTTCATGGAAGCACGACCGCACGATGTTTCGGGTTCAGTTGGTTCTTCATCGGGTGACATGCTAGATCTGCGATGACAGAATAAATGGGATAATTGTTGTTATGATGCGGTCCTGTGTCGGGAGAATTGAACATTCAGCCCAGGTTCATGCTGATGCAGCGCAGCACATAGCATGTGATTCACACCAGAACCGCTCCTCATCCCTGTGCAAGTCACATGCGCACTCTGTGCGGTGCAATCGGAGTCGTACATTTTGTATGGCTCAGATCGCATCCGCTCCAAAATAGTGCAGGACCCTTTTTTTTTTTTTTGGTCCGCACTAGAATCGAATCACACAGGCATTCACACCTATGGGATCCTATTCTGCGCATCGCACCGCGTTTTGCGAACCGATTTCGGGGTGTTATTAACTTAACATACAAATCCGCTGCGGTTCGCATGAACAGGGTGTGGTCATGATGCGGAGCAGAAATCACACACTAAACGCTGCAAATTCTGCGGATCTGGGCTCAAGAATAAAACCGACATTCTCCTCATCAGGGCCAAATATAACTTAGAGCAGGGGCCCCAAAGTTTGTAAACAAAGGGCCACTTTACTGTCCATAAGACTTTTGGGGGCCGGACTGTGGCCATCGGGAGTAGAAATTGTCCCGACATCAGTGGGAGTAAACAACGCATCTTTAGTATTACGAGGAGGAATAGTGCCAGAGATCATTGGGAGGAATAGTCAGTGGGAAGGAATAGTGCCCCGTCATTGGTGTCAGTGGAAGGAATAGTGCCCCATCATTGGTGTCAGTGGGAGGAATAGTGCCCCATCATTGGTGTCAGTGGGAGGAATAGTGCCCCTTCATTGGTGTCAGTGGGAGGAATAGTGCCCCGTCATTGGTGTCAGTGGAGGGAATAGTGCCCCTTCATTGGTGTCAGTGGGAGGAATAGTTGCCCCTTCATTGGTGTCAGTGGGAGGAATAGTGCCCCTTCATTGGTGTCAGTGGGAGGAATAGTGCCCCGTCATTGGTGTCAGTGGGAGGAATAGTGCCCCTTCATTGGTGTCAGTGGGAGGAATATTGCCCCATCATTGGTATCAGTGGGAGGAATAGTGCCCATTCAATGGTGTCAGTGGGAGGAATAGTGCCCCTTCATTGGTGTCAGTGGGAGGAATAGTGCCCCGTCATTGGTGTCAGTGGGAGGAATAGTGCCCCTTCATTGGTGTCAGTGGGAGGAATAGTGCCCCATTGGTGTCATTCATTGGTGTCAGTGGGAGGAATAGTGCCCCATCATTGGTGTCAGTGGGAGGAATAGTGCCCCATCATTGGTGTCAGTGGGAGGAATAGTACCCCATCATTGGTGTCAGTGGGAGGA